GGACGACGGACGACGACGGACGAAAACGGATAGCAATAGGTCACTTGAGCTAAAGCTCAGGTGACCTAAAAACCCAGCATATATGCAATCCAAAGAATCAATGAAATATATAGTTTAGTAATTATTTTATTGATTTTTCGGAGTCTTCCCGATCAGCAATTGGTGTGTGTTTAACACAGCTGTGAGAACCAACAATGACGTCGAAGGTCGATTGAACACCCGTGTCAACGTGAGGGGACCAGTCCCATTTTATCTGCTGATACAGGAGCTGTTCCGGGAGGCTGAGGCCATCCCCATGCAACTGAAAATGGTGACAGAGGGAAAGACATCAGAGGAAGCGGTCACGACAGGTACAGAGACACGTCTTCCGGATGTGGAAGCGTTACCAGCAGGGGAGACTTCCAACATCACAGCTACTACGGAAGGCCGCTTCCCTTGTTCTCTGAAGTGTAGTGTAGGACGTGAACTTTGTTAAGTTGTGTGCTTGGACAATTTTTGGTAACAGTCTATAATAGTAGCTATATTTATGAAGTGTGGTTAATATACGGGGAAGGGAATTCTTATACAGGGTAACGTGTGAAAAAGTCTGTAATAGTAGCTATTGAATAACGACGTGAATAGTATACGGAGAAGGGAACAGTCTTTAATAGTAGCTATTGAATGACGATGTGAATTATGTTGTTAACTGTTTTTAAATGTATTTTAGTTTTTGTTTACTGAGTATAAATATATGTTATCCATGTATGGAAATAAAATTATTCATCAATGTAATAGTATTAATCTTGTTTTGTTTTTGGTATTCATGATTCATGACGTGTAAAAAAAACTTATGTCACTGACATATTAGATATCAAGTTCGTGCTTATATCAAATATACATGGACTGAATCAAAACAAGCAAAGACCACTTCAAAAAATCTGATACAAACACGTGCATTTATTATAGCACAAGTTTGACTTAGAGTTACTTCCCTTGAAGGTATACAGCACGCAAAAAGTGGTGACGTTGACTAAAACTTGGTACCAAAGTGTGTTTTCCATAAGTACCTAAACGATTTTCAGAAGTACCGAAACAACTTTCAAAAGTACCGAAACGACTTTCAGAAGTACCGAAACGACCGGGTACCTAAACGACCTGAATTCCTTTTCACGAGGAGTCCTATCACTATAAAGACACTTGCCATCTATTTGAACCGGAGTTGGATTCCGTTATCTAATTCTACATTTCCGAATACCCACGATCATCCTTACCCGACACGTTACCCACGATCATCCTCACCCGACACGTTACCCACGATCATCCTTACCCGACACGTTACCCACGATCATCCTTACCCGACACGTTACCCACGATCATCCCCACCCGACACGTTACCCACGATCTTCCTCACCCAACACGTTACCCACGATCATCCTCCCCCGACACGTTACCCACTATCATCCTCACCCGACACGTTACCCACTATCATCCTCCCCCGACACGTTACCCACGATCATCCCCACCCGACCCGTTACCCACGATCATCCTCCCCCGACACGTTTCCCACGATCATCCTCACCCGACACGTTATCCACGATCATCCTCACCCGACACGTTAACCACGATCTTCCTCACCCGACACGTTACCCACGATCTTCCTCACACAACACGTTACCCACGATCATCCTCACCCGCCACGTTACCCACGATCATCCTCCCCCGACACGTTACACACGATCATCCTCACCCGACACGTTACCCACGATCATCCTTTCTCGACATGTTACCCACGATCATCCTCACCCGACACGTTACCCACGATCATCCTCACCCGACACGTTACCCACGATCATCCTCACCCGACACGTTACCCACGATCATCCTCACCCGACACGTTACCCACGATCATCCTCACCCGACACGTTACCCACGATCATCCTCACCCGACACGTTACCCACGATCATCCTCACCCGACACGTTACCCACGATCATCCTCACCCGACACGTTACCCACGATCATCCTCACCCGACACGTTACCCACGATCATCCTCACCCGACACGTTACCCACGATCATCCTCACCCGACACGTTACCCACGATCATCCTCACCCGACACGTTACCCATGATCATCCTTAGCCGACACCTTTGTATTGGATTTGGAAACATCACAAGAATGTGTATTTTGAAGATTTCAAAAATCCTTTCCTTCAGATGTGTTTCTATCAGAACCTTTGACTTCGTCACTTTTTCTCTACCAAATACCTCAAACCGTATTCGTTCTCCTGTTTTGAGACGGCGTTATAAATATATGGTTGTAATAAGTTTGAAACACATTTTGTGTAAAATTGACAAAGGCCAAAATATCTACTCTGAAGATAACATTTTGAAACCAAATATAAAAATAAACCTTGCCAAGTCCTTTCATTTCACTTTCAGATATATCGATGTGCTGTCTTTGAATAACAAGAATTTCATTGATCGCATCCATCGTGTATACTCTCCTGAACTTGAAATCAAGGACACTACGAACTGTTCTACATCAGCTGCTTTCCTCCATTACTTACATGATCAACAAAGACGGCTTACCACTAGGCTGTACGCTAAACAGGACGATTTTGATTTTCCGAGAGTTACCTTACCTTCCAGGTAAATCTAGGTCAAACCCAAGTAATGTCAACTCCTCCAGGGTAGTGACAGAGAAACATCAACAAGGACATACAATTATCCCCAATGAGATTACAGTATAAAAATCAACGCAAGTATCTTATATCAAATATAGAATTTAATTTAATAAACAAACAAGTATTTAAACATACAATTTAATTGCATGCACACTCAACATAAGTTTACAATTATTATAAATTCGATATCTTTTTTTCAACTAATAACTAAGTGAAACAATTTAAATATCAATGCCATACAATATTCCTGGTAACCATAAAACCATCCTTGATATCCAGGGATTACGCTCACTTTCGCTCTCTACACCCCTGGAATATGTCATAGCAAAATTGAAGGACCAAGATAGCTGTTTGATTGGTCTCGGGTAAAAACATAAGACCAAACGCTAGGCTGATACTTGTCCTTTGAAGATTACAAAGGAGAGACGCCCGACTTCAAAACCTGTCAATTTTTACCGTTACGTGACCGTGAGATTCTTTTGATGTACATTAAAGGATCGAACTAGTCTTCTTGTCTCATCAACAAGGTGGCACACACAGAGTTTTGCTATGACATATTCCGGGAGTGCAGAGAGGGAAAGTGAGCGTAACCCCTGGATATCGAGGATGCCGTAAAACCTACTCAGTAATTATGCCATTTTACCAAGGATTCAAGTTAAAAAGCAACTCGTATTACCCATGTACATAACAGAAATATTGATATAAGCAAATAAATAATGTGTAAATAGTATATACATATGCAGATACACTACATTTTTGCTATATATTTCAATTTCGAAATATATGGGTTTTGGACTTTGTACATACAGCTCAAGTATCTATAGTCAATGTTTGCATTTTTCAGAAGAAAATAGATGAAAACAATTTTACACACGGTTGCATTTTGATGTTGACGTATTTAATATTTATGTATGATAAATTAACAACAGGTACGTCATCGCCACAATTAAGTTCTAATTAACACAAACTACACCAGTCATTCGTGACATTAGAGCCTCACAATCAATTTCAGGATACAAACGAACAAACTTTCATACCTACAAAAATGAGCAACTACAACGTAAATGAAACGGTTCTTTCAGTTCCTGTTCTATTGGATTTTTTTTTTATCAAGACTAGCATGTTTCCAATAACTAATCTCGTCATGTTTGCATATCATCTTACTGACATTTAAACTTTAACATTCTACTCTTTGTGATCGTCAACTGGCGACAACAGACAGAACTCTGGTACACAGGGACCCGGAAGTTGTGACAGCCTAATCTGTGTTGTTTGGACCTGGAAGTTGTGACAGCCTCATCTGTGTTGTTTGGACCTGGAAGTTGTGACAGCCTAATCTGTGTTGTTTGGACCTGGAAAGTGTGACAGCCTAATCTGTGTTGTTTGGACCTAAACTGATGTTTTAGGGGTTCAGATCAACTCTGGGTAAAACCCCACCCAGATGATATATAAGTCTGTTTGAATATTTCAAACACACTGGATCCTTGTGACCATGAGTATAAGACAAGAATGTTGATTTTTCTTTTAATTGATAGCCTTTCACCCCAACTAGCTTTGTGCCAAATAATATGACCCCAGGGTTTTATGTTTTTATTAAGCGGTCTTTTTAAAAAAGAAGTTGACATAGACGGACAAACAGCCAACGCCGTGCCAAGTAATAAGCTCTCTAGCTGTAAACAATTCCCCCCCACATGAACATTTCCACATCATCAAGGTAACAAATAATTCTCACACCAACATGTCTATCACATGATCCTCATATCACCTTGGTAACTATAACATGATCCTCACATCACCTTGGAACTGTTATATAATCCTCACATCACCATGGTAATTATAACATGCTCTCCACCACACCATGCTTACTCTTAACACAGTTCTCGTGTCTCCATGCCAATTATAACCTGATCCTAACATCTCAACGGTAACTGCAGCTGAGGGTAGTCTTAACCACAGATCACACGGCAGCTTATGTCACTCTAGCATAAGGACATGATACCATTACTGTGTCAATAGCATATAGTATATATCCACGGCAGCTTATGTCACTCTAGCATAAGGACATGATACCATTATTGTGTCAATAGCATATAGTATATATCCCTAAGTCACCAATAAAACAATCATAGTTGTCATTGGAAGGACATGGTAACGTGTTGGACATCGCCAGCATTGATGCCTTCCGCAGCTGACTGCACCACCTCCTGGCCAAGTATCGCACCTCCATCCAGTACATCCTGACCATCCAATTGCTGTTGGGCCAGTTGCTGTGGAAACAAGATCATATGGTCGGTCATAAAAGGGAATAATTTACATTCATTTTGTCTTTGAAAGTACACTGTACATACAGTGGAGAATGCAAGAACAACCTCACTGAACGTGTTGTCTTTTTAGACCAGTTGCTATCATAAGACAGTAAGCACTGGAGGTTGGTATATAACAAGCATACTGAGTATTGCTGAAGCAATACATGTCCCCTACCGGCCCCCGCAATCTATTAAGATGCAACAGTGACCTCAACCTAGATCCGAGGACCATGAAACTTGAACTTGTCCAATACATTGAATTTTTTTACAATAATGTGAAGTTTGACTAAAATCCATGAAAGAATGAGTCACTAGAGTGCTGACAAAGATTTTCTATTTATAGTAACAGTGACCTTGACCTTGATCCGATGACCTTGAAACTCGAACTTGTCGAAGATATTTTAATTCTTTATGACTGTGTGAAGTTTGATTAAAAACCAAGAAAGAATGAAGACGCTAGAGTGCTGACAAAGATTTTCCATTTATAGTAATAGTGACCTTGACCTTGATCCGATGACTTTGAGACTCGAACTTGTCGAAGATATTTTAATTCTTTATGACTGTGTGAAGTTTGATTAAAAACCAAGAAAGAATGAAGACGCTAGAGTGCTGACAAAGTTTTTCTATTTATAGTAACAGTGACCTTGACCTTGATCCGATGACCTTGAAACTCGAACTTGTCGAAGATATTTTAATTCTTTATGACTGTGTGAAGTTTGATTAAAAACCAAGAAAGAATGAAGACGCTAGAGTGCTGACAAAGATTTTCCATTTATAGTAATAGTGACCTTGACCTTGATACGATGACCTTGAAACTCGAACTTGTCGAAGATATTTTAATTCTTTATGACTGTGTGAAGTTTGATTAAAAACCAAGAAAGAATGAAGACGCTAGAGTGCTGACAAAGTTTTTCTATTTATAGTCATAATGACCTTGACCTTGATCCGATGACCTTGAAACTCGAACTTGTCGAAGATATTTTAATTCTTTATGACTGTGTGAAGTTTGATTAAAAACCAAGAAAGAATGAAGACGCTAGAGTGCTGACAAAGATTTTCCATTTATAGTAATAGTGACCTTGACCTTGATCCGATGACTTTGAGACTCGAACTTGTCGAAGATATTTTAATTCTTTATGACTGTGTGAAGTTTGATTAAAAACCAAGAAAGAATGAAGACGCTAGAGTGCTGACAAAGTTTTTCTATTTATAGTAATATTGACCTTGACCTTGATCCGATGACCTTGAAACTCGAACTTGTTGAAGATATTAACAATTAGGACAACAGAGGTGATGTCATGCAAGTCATTGAAATCAATAACAATTAGGACAACAGCGGTGATGTCATGTAAGTCATTGGAATCAATAACAATTAAGAAAACAGAGGTGATTTCATGTAAGTCATTGAAATCAATAACAATTAAGAAAACAGAGGTGATGCCATGTAAGTCATTGAAATCAATAACAATTAAGAAAACAGAGGTGATGCCATGTAAGTCATTGAAATCAATAACAATTAGGACAACAGGGTGATGTCATGTAAGTCATTGGAATCAATAACAATTAAGAAAACAGAGGTGATGCCATGTAAGTCATTGAAATCAATAACAATTAGGACAACAGGGTGATGTCATGTAAGTCATTGGAATCAATAACAATTAAGAAAACAGAGGTGATTTCATGTAAGTCATTGAAATCAATAACAATTAGGACAACAGAGTGGATGTCATTTAAGTCATTGAAATCAATAACAATTAGGACAACAGAGTGGATGTCATTTAAGTCATTGAAATCAATAACAATTAGGACAACAGAGGTGATGTCATGCAAGTCATTGAAATCAATATTGTTTGGCTTTGTGATGAAAACGATTTTGATTCATTCCCATTTCATTCACTAGATTTATGAAACCCATATATCTTTACTATAATGTGACCTATATATCTTTCCTGTAATGTGACCTATATATATCTTTACTGTAATGTGACATATATTTTTACTGTAATGTGACCTATATATCTTTACTCTAATGTGACCTATATATCTTTACTCTAATGTGACCTATATATATCTTTATTCTAATGTGACCTATATATCTTTACTGTAATGTGACCTATATATCTTTACTGACTGTAATGTGAACTATATATCTTCACTGTAATGTGACCTATATATCTTTACTGTAATGTGACCTATATATCTTCACTCTAATGTGACCTATATATCCTTACTCTAATGTGACCTAAATATCTTTACTGTAATGTGACCTATATATCTTTACTCTAATGTGACCTACTTGTAGAGCTTCCAGCTGAGCTGGATCAGTTATCACATACACCTGCTGGCCCTGGTCTCCCACAGTGATGGTTGCCATGCTTTGCTGCTGTTGTAGCTGGCCCAGAAGTTGTGCTGCTGTCGTCTGTGTCTGCTGCATGGTTACAACAGCCTGTTCCTCTGCCCCTAACACAGTGGTGCTGCCCATCAGGGAGTTCTGCTGTTAAACAAATCACAAATCTCATATCACCATCATTAACAGTGACCTCTCTTAACTAGCTTAGGCAAATTAATCTAACAGTTACTATCCATTACAACAGAATCTCTTCAAACTTTTGTCATTCAATAATACCTAAGCAGTAAGTATACATATATACTTATTGGTTTTGATGAAGGTCTTTATCTTTTTCAAGGTGATTGGAGGCTGGATTAATGAGATTTACATGTATTTCATAAATCATATCTGCTTCAAAAATAAAGACAATACAACATGTGCAAACATATTTGTATGTTAACTCACAGCCTGCTGGGCCTCTGAAGTTGTAATGGCCATAGTTGCATCCTCCTGAGAAACTGTGCCCTCTGGTGTGGACAAGGCATACTGAAACTTTGCCCGTTTCTCTTGTGGTTCATCCTCATCATCTGTGATACAAGAATATACACTGTATATACTAAGGTCAAATTCTTAGTGCCTCTAAAATATATAGTAAATACACACTGTATGTACTAAGGTCAAATTCTTAGTGCCTCTAAAATATATAGTAAATACATACTGTATATACTAAGGTCAAATTCTTAGTGCTCTAAAATATATAGTAAATACACACTGTATGTACTAAGGTCAAATTCTTAGTGCCTCTAAAATATATAGTAAATACATACTGTATATACTATTAGGATCAAACTATTAGTGCCTCTAAAATATATAGTAAATACACACTGTATATATTATTAGGATCAAACTATTAGTGCCTCTAAAATATATAGTAAATACACACTGTATGTACTAAGGTCAAATTCTTAGTGCCTCTAAAAGATATAGTAAATACACGCTGTATATACTAAGGTCAAATTCTTAGTGTCTCGAAAATATATAGTAAATACACACTGTATATATTATTAGGATCAAACTATTAGTGCCTCTAAAATATATAGTAAATACAAACTGTATATACTATTAGGATCAAACTATTAGTCCCTCTAAAATATATAGTAAATACACACTGCATATACTAAGGTCAAATTCTTAGTGCCTCTAAAAGATATAGTAAATACACGCTGTATATACTAAGGTCAAATTCTTAGTGCCTCTAAAAGATATAGTAAATACACGCTGTATATACTAAGGTCAAATTCTTAGTGTCTCGAAAATATATAGTAAATACACACTGTATATATTATTAGGATCAAACTATTAGTGCCTCTAAAATATATAGTAAATACACACTGTATGTACTAAGGTCAAATTCTTAGTGCCTCTAAAAGATATAGTAAATACACGCTGTATATACTAAGGTCAAATTCTTAGTGCCTCTAAAAGATATAGTAAATACACGCTGTATATACTAAGGTCAAATTCTTAGTGCTCTAAAATAGATAGTAAATACTCACTGTATATACTAAGGTCAAATTCTTAGTGTCTCGAAAATATATAGTAAATACACACTGTATATACTGAGGTCAAATTCTTAGTGCCTCTAAAATATATAGTAAATACACACTGTATATATTATTAGGATCAAACTATTAGTGCCTCTAAAAAATATAGTAAATATACACTGTATATACTATTAGGGTCAAACTATTAGTGCCTCTATAAAATATAGTAAATATATACAGTATATACTCTTAGTGCCTCTGTAAAATATAGTAGTCTCTTATATCTTTGATAAAAATCAATAAAGAACATGAGCATGTACGATGGTATTAGCCTTCTTTATTTGAATCCTGTGTTATTTATTCTACTGTAATCTATAAATATTGTATCTTTTACTATATCCCATGGGTGGGAAAGGTGGGAACGACTGGATATGGCCCACAGGTCCTCTCAAATCATAAATCTTCATTACTTCGAAGAAACCACTTCAATTTCTCTTAACCCTAAACCTTTAAGACTTGTACCTCCTGGGTTTCTATGTTGAGCCATTAACTGAGCCTCACTTTCAGGTGTGATGTCCTCTCCATGTGCGGTGCGTTTGTGCATAGCAAGAGTAGATGTCTGTCGGTACGTTTTCCCACAGTGATTACACACATAAGGCTTGGAGTGGGTGTGTACCACATGGTGTTTGTAAAGACTGGAGTACTCTGTAAATCTCTTTCCACAGCCATGTACTGTACACACATAGGGCTTCTCTCCTACAGCAATATAGCACAAAACATGAGTCTATACTCAGCTAAATTAACACATAAGTCATAAAACACATAATGTACTACACACATACGTCTCACAAATATAACACAAGACTTCCATCAAGGAAAGTAACAATTTACATGTGTAGTTACCCAATACCCATGGCAAGTATTTACTACCTTACAGGATTAATCATGAATAAAAACATATCCAGAATTGTTTATAAAAATGGAAATGTCCAGACTAAATATTCTTAAGTGAAATGTTCATATCCTAACTAGGTAATAATCATAATTACAATGGCAATCTAAATAATCGAATTATTTGATTATACAATGTTTTACAATAATTGTTCTTAACAGATCTTTGTTTATCATATAACTGACATACCTGTGTGTATACGGATATGGTTTTTGTAATTTGTGGCGCTAGCAAAAGCCCGCCCACAGCCCTCCTCTTGACACACATATGGTCGCTCTCCTGTGTGGGTACGGATATGTACCTTTCGTATATTGGACGTTGTAAATGACCGATTACATCCCTCAAATGGACATTTAAATGGACGTTCTCCTAAAAACATTACAGTAACAATTCATTGTTGAATATTGTTAATGAAATTACACAATATTTCAATTTGGGATTTTGTGTCAGTAAGTTAAAGTATAAGCCATCATTATTTTATCAAAACACAAACAATATTTATATAGCCCCCTATATACTTTTTAAAATGACTCTTAAGCACTTCACACCATATGGATAATAGTATTAGTTATAATTGTGAAACAAAAACAAAGGCTTAATATCCCTTTTATACATTTAAGCAAGCAGATAAGCATCGCAATGTGCACATAAATGAACAAATAAAGGGTGGTATTTGTATAGAATTTTTCCATCATAATTTCTCATTTTTCTCACCATTGTAACACTATATCCCCAGCTACATTACATCATCACAATTATACTATATAATAATAATTAATAATAATTTGAGGTCCTTATATACCGCTCTATCACAACCTAGTTCACAGGTCGTCTCAAAGCGGTTCACAAATTATTATCCGTGATTATAAGGCCTTTGCAACCAACCAATATCTTCCCCAGCTCCCTGGGGAGCCTACAGCCTGTGCTGCCATTTTGGCGCTCTCAGCTAGCATTCTACAATTCTAGCACTGTCCAATCACATACTCATATACAGCCGAGTAGACTTGAACAAACGGAGTAACGTATCTTGCTCAAAGATACAACACAGTGCCTTGCCGTGACTTGAACCTGCAACTCTTCGGTCACGAGCCTGGAGTCCTACCACTAGACTACCATACCTCAGCAAAGTTACACTATATCAGCAGGTACCCTATATATTCATAGTGACCCTTTATCACTATCATCATGGCAAAATGAAGTTTTATTAAAAGTAATACCGTAAATAAGTTCCAAGGAAGAGGTTCGACCCATCCTGGTAGAATATGTGTATGTGTATCTAAAGCTTAATGCTCAACGATTTGTATTTAATGTTTTAGAGTTGAGATCTCATGGGTTTCTATGCTATGATCCAGAGACTTAGTTCTTTAGGGGTTGGGCTAACTCTGAGGTCGATTCTCTTATCTTATCTATTACATTTATGTAAGGAGGAGACGGGTCAGCCACAGAAATGGACGTGCAAGGAGCTGGAGGGTAGGGCCACCTAAACTCAATCACAGAAACAGACATGTGAGGAGCTGGAGGGTAGGGCCACCTAAACTCAATCACAGAAACAGACATGTAAGGAGCTGGAGGATAGGGCCACCTATACTCAATCACAGAAACTGACATGTGAGGAGCTGGAGGGTAGGGCCACCTAAACTCAATCGCAGAAACAGACATTTAAGGATCTGGGAGGTAGGGCCACCTATACTCAATCACAGAAACAGACATTTAAGGATCTGGGAGGTAAGGCCACCTAAACTAAATCACAGAAACAAACATGTGAGGAGCTGGAGGGTAGGGCCACCTAAACTCAATCACAAAAACAGTCATGTGAGTAGCTGGAGGGTAGGGCCGCCTAAACTCAACCACAGAAGCTGACATGTAAGGAGCTGGAGGGTAGGGCCAACTATACTCAATCACAGAAACAGACATTTAAGTAACTGGGGGGTAGGGCCACCTAAACTCAATCACAAAAACAGACATGTGAGTAGCTGGAGGGGAGGGCCACCTAAACTCAATCACAAAAACAGACATGTGAGTAGCTGGAGGGTAGGGCCACCTAAACTCAACCACAGAAGCTGACATGTAAGGAGCTGGAGGGTAGGGCCACCTAAACTCAATCACAGATACAGACATGTAAGGAGCTGGAGGGTAGGGCCACCTATACTCAATCACTGAAACAGACATGTTAGGAGCTGGAGGGTAGGGCCACCTAAACTCAATCACAGAAGGCCACCTAAACTTAATCGAAGAAACAGACATGTAAGGAGCTGGAGGGTAGGGCCACCTATACTCAATCACAGAAACTGACATGTGAGGGGCTGGAGGGTAGGGCCACCTAAACTCAATCACAGAAACGGACATGTAAGGATTTGGGAGGTAGGGCCACCTAAACTCAATCACAGAAACGGACATGTAAGGATTTGGGAGGTAGGGCCACCTAAACTCAATCACAGAAACAGACATGTAAGGATTTGGGAGGTAGGGCCACCTAAACTTAATCACAGAAACAGACATGTGAGGAGCTGGAGGGTAGGGCCACCTATACTCAATCACAGAAACTGACATGTGAGGAGCTGGAGGGTAGTGCCACCTATACTCAATCACAGAAACTGGCATGTGAGGAGCTGGAGGGTAGGGCAACCTATACTCAATCACAGAAACAGACATTAAGGGGCTGGAGGGGAGGGCCACCTAAACTCAATCGCAGAAACAGACATGTAAGGAGATGGAGGGTAGGGCCACCTAAAATCAATCACAGAAACAGACATTAAGGGGCTGGAGGGGAGGGCCACCTAAACTCAATCACAGAAACAGACATGTAAGGAGCTAAAGGGTAGGGCCACCTATACTCAATCACAGAAACAGATATTAAGGAGCTGGAGGGTACGGCCACCTAAACTCAGACATTAAGGAGCTGGAGGGTAGGGCCACCTAAACTCAATCACAGAAACAGACATGTGAGGAGCTGGAGGGTAGGGCCACCTATACTCAATCACAGAAACAGACATGTGAGGACAGGTACCCTTGAATCCTGGACATACAAAAACAGACTTGTACAACTGTAATGCATGTGAAATAACTTAATGGCTTTCGAAAAACAAGAAGCCCAGGGGCCTTAATAGCTCACCTGGTATTTTATTTTTCAATTTAAAACCTGCTGAGTACCATTCAGGTTTATCAAAGGAGTACAAGTAACAAAGTTGCATCTTCCATTTATAAATATTCAATTCCCTTTGCCCAAAGATTCTCTAAAACAAGTTTGGTTAGGTTAAAATCCCTTCAACGGTACAGAAGGAGAAGGATCTTTAATGTTTTCCTCTATTTCCCCTAATGGGCCCCACTAATCTGCCCCAAAGAAGGGGAATCCACACACCTCAGTTTAAACAAAATTGATTCTTTTCTCCCTAAGCATGCTTCAGACTGCATTTGGTTTAAATCCCTTCACTTGTATAGTAGGAGAAAAAAAATCCTCTATTTCCCCTATTGGGCCCCGCTCCTATGCCGCCAGAAGGCCCACACCCTCCGTTTATACAAACTTGAGTCTCCTTTGTCCAAAGATGCTCTAGGACAAATTTGGTCAAAATCCTTCTATTGGTTGAGAAGAAGAAGATTTTTAAAGATTTACCTATTTTCCCCCTATTTGGCCCCGCCCCTCTGCCCCCAGGGGGGTTATACCCTCCGTTTATACAAAACTGAGAACCCTTTGGCCAATGATGCTCCTGACCAAATTTGGTCAAAATCCTCTGAGCCATTCAGGACAAGTAGCATTTTAAAGGAAAAAGTTGCCGGACGCCGGACGCTGCACCATGGGATAAGCTCACATGGCCCTTCGGGCCAGGTGAGCTAAAAACATGGTCTCTCAAATATTTTCTCACCTGTATGTGTTCTGACATGTTTCTGCAGGTCCCCTGATGTTTTGAATGCTTTATCACAGCTTTCCTCTGGACATTTATAAGGCTTTTCCCCCGTATGTACCCGCGTGTGACTCTTTAGGCCATAGCCTGTGGCAAAGGCTTTGGTACAGGCAGGAAACTCACATTTGAATGGCCGGTCACCAGTATGAGATCTCTCATGGACCTAAAGAAATAACATAAGATGACAAATTTTTTAATTATTTTTATGTACATATGCATTTATGTAACAACTCAATATTCCCCAACAACAATAACATTTAATTTTTACTAAGAACAATTGAATTTGACAGTATTATTTTCACAAAGACTGCCCAGGTTTAGTTCTAGGTAAATGTGAATATCAATGCTATACACATTACAAGGATCAGGTTTCATTACAAGACAATGACAGACATGAAACTCTCCTGGCTTTTAGTTTGTACTTTTAACATGTTTGACCCTGTAATCTTGAAAGTGTATCAAGATCATTTTGATAGATTTGTCATCAGGCTAAAGTTACAGGACAAATATCATAACTCTTGGACTTTTTGTAGAAGATGTGGTTTGAGGTTTTTGACACATATTACTCCAGTGGCTTTGAAAGTTGGTCAAAGGAAGATTTCTGCAGACAGCGTTTTAACCTTCTTACACATTTGACACTTGTGACCTTTGAAGTGGGTCAAGATAATCTATCTGAATAAATCTGATAGTCCTCCACCACATTATCAACTCAGAAGCCCTCTCATATATCCTGCATCACTACTGAACAATGATGACATCACTAGTCGTATTTGTTTGCAGCTTGGAGATGATGGAAGTTGGTGTAGAGGCGACCACACCCCTCAAAAGGTGATGATGGGTGGTGTAGAGGCGACCACGCCCCTCAAAGCCACACTTGTAGATACCCCTACCTTTAGGTGATGATGGGTGGTATAGAGGCGACCACACCCCTCAAAGCCACACTTGTAGATACCCCTACCTTTAGGTGATGATGGGTGGTATAGAGGCGACCACACCCCTCAAAGCTATACTTGTAGATATCCTTACCGTAAGATGATGATGGGTAGTGTAGAGGCGACCACACCACTCAAAGCTATACTTGTAGATACCCCTACCTTAAAATGATGATGGGTGGTGTAGAGGCAACCACACCACTCAAAGCTATACTTGTAGATATCCTTACCTTAAGGTGATGATGGGTAGTGTAGAGGCAACCACACCCCTCAAAGCTACACTTGTAGATACCCCTACCTTAAGGTGATGATGGGTAGTGTAGAGGCGACCACACCCCTCAAAGCTATACTTGTAGATACCCTTACTTTAAGATGATGATGGGTGGTGTAGAGGCGACCACACCCCTCAAAGCTATACTTGTAGATACCCTTACTTTAAGATGATGATGGGTGGTGTAGAGGCGACCACACCCCTCAAAGCTATACTTGTAGATACCCTTACCTGAAGGTGATGATGGGTGGTGTAGAGGTGACCACACCCCTCAAAGCTATACTTGTAGATATCCTTACCTTAAGATGATGATGGGTAGTGTAGAGGCGACCACACCCCATAAAGCTATACTTGTAGATACCCTTACCTTAAGGTGATGATGGGTAGTGTAGAGGCGACCACACCCCTCAAAGCTATACTTGTAGATACCCTTACCTTAAGGTGATGATGGGTGGTGTAAAGGTGACCACACCAATCAAAGCTACACTTGTAGATACCCTTACCTTAAGGTGATGATGGGTAGTGTAGAGGTGACTACACCCCTCAAAGCTATACTTGTAGATACCCTTACCTTAAGGTGATGATGGGGGGTGTAAAGGTGACCACACCAATCAAAGCTACACTTGTAGATACCCTTCCCTTAAGGTGATGATGGGTAGTGTAGAGGTGGCCACACCCCTCAAAGCTATACTTGTAGATATCCTTACCTTAAGGTGATGATGGGTAGTGAAGAGGTGACCACACCCCTCAAAGCTACACTTGTAGATACCCCTACCTTAAGGTGATGATGGGTGGTGTGGAGGCGACCACACCCCTCAAAGCTATACCTGTAGATACCCTTACCTCAAGGTGATGATGGGTAGTGTAGAGGCAACCACACCCCTCAAAGCCACACTTGTAGATACCCTTACCTTAGGGTGATGATGGGTAGTGTAGAGGCGACCACACCCCTCAAAGCTATACTTGTAGATATCTTTACCTTAAGGTGATGATGGGTAGTGAAGAGGCAACCACACCCCTCAAAGCCACACTTGTAGATACCCTTACCTTAGGGTGATCATGGGTAGTGTAGAGGCGACCACACCACTCAAAGCTATACTTGTAGATATCCTTACCTTAAGATGATAATGGGTAGTGTAGAGGCGACCACACCCCTCAAAGCTATACTTGTAGATATCCTTACCTTAAGATGCTAATGGGTAGTGTAGAGGCAACCACACCCCTCAAAGCTACACTTGTAGATATCCTTACCTTAAGATGCTAATGGGTAGTGTAGAGGCGACCACATCCCTCAAAGCTATACTTGTAGATACCCTTCCCTTAAGGTGATGATGGGTAGTGAAGAGGTGAACACACCCCTCAAAGCCACACTTGTAGATATCCTTCCCTTAAGGTGATGATGGGTAGTGTAGAGGCAACCACACCCCTCAAAGCTATACTTGTAGATACCCTTACCTAAAGGTGATGATGGGTAGTGTAGAGGCGACCACACCCCTCAAAGCCACACTTGTAGATATCCTTACCTTAAGGTGATGATGGGTGGTGTAGAGGCGACCACAACCCTCAAAGCTACATTTGTAGGCTTTCTCCCCAATGTTGATCGGTTTGCCATCCCCAGTCAGGCCTGCGGCAATCACAGTCTGCAATAAAAAATAACATTTTAGATCACAATTACACATGTATATGCTTCAACTACTTTTAATACAGATTTTATTTGATTTCCTAAAATAAATATCTTTCGTAAATTCTCAGAAAAAAAACCTGTAGTATTTTATCATGATCCATGTATTGCAATGCAAAAAGTGAAAATATATTTTTTAAAGAGAGGATGAGAACCCTGAACAAAATAAAACAAAACATTGGCAGCTGTGGCTATACCTTCTCTGGGTTTCATTAAACACGGCTGTACCTAAACATGGCTGTACCTTAACACGGCTGTACCTTAAAACGGCTGTACCTTAACACGCCTGTACCTTAACACGGCTCTTCACACGGCTGTACCTAAACATGGCTGTACCTTAACACGAGAGGCGACCACACCCCTCAAAGCTACATTTGTAGGCTTTCTCCCCAATGTTGATCGGTTTGCCATCCCCAGTCAGGCCTGCGGCAATCACAGCCTGCAATAAAAAATAACATTTTAGATCACAATTACATATGTATATGCTTCAACTACTTTTAATACAGATTTTATTTGATTTGCTAAAATAAATATCTTCAGTAAATTCTGAGAAAAAAACACCTGTAGTATTATATCATAAGCCATGTATTGCAATGCAAGAAGAGAACATATATTTTTTAAAGAGAGGATGAGAACCCTAAACAAAATAAAACAAAACATTGGCAGCTGTGGCTATACCTTCTCTGGGATTCATTAAACACGGCTGTACCTTACCACGGCTGTACCTTAACCCGGCTGTACCTTAACACGTCTCTTAACACGGCTGTACCTCAACACGGCTGTACCTAAACATGGCTGTAGCTTAACACGGCTGTACCAAAACAGGGCTGTACCTAAACACGGCTATTAACACGGCTGTACCTAAACATGGCTGTAGCTTAACACGGCTGTACCAAAACAGGGCTGTACCTAAACACGCTGTAACTAAACACGGCTGTACCCTAACACGGCTGTACCTTTTATAACATTTTAGATCACAATTACATATGTATATGCTTCAACTACTTTTAATACAGATTTTATTTGATTTGCTAAAATAAATATCTTCAGTAAATTCTGAGAAAAAAACACCTGTAGTATTATATCATGATCCATGTATTGCAATGCAAGAAGAGAACATATATTTTTTAAAGAGAGGATGAGAACCCTGAACAAAATAAAACAAAACATTGGCAGCTGTGGCTATGCCTTCTCTGGGTTTCATTAAACATGGCTGTACCTTAACACGGCTGTACCTAAACACGGCTATACCTTCTCATGGTTTCATTAAACATGGCTCTACCTTAACACGGCTGTACCTTTTCTAGGTTTCATTAACACCAAAGAATTGTACTATGCATTGGCAGTTGGTGATTCTTATAGCTTCTTTTCAAAGTGTTTACTTATCAGATATCTCAAGTGACACCATATGAACAGTCAAGTTTGTATATCACATTACATTACAAGCTGTGATACATATCACATTATCTACTATATCACATGGCCTACTACACTGATACATATCACATTATCTACTATATCACATGACCTACCACACTATGATACATAGCACATGACCTACAACACTGTGATACATATCACATGACATTGCTACACCATGATACATATCACATGACTTACAACACTGATACATATCACATGACCTATTACACTGTGATACATGTCACATGACCTACAACACTGTGATACATATCACATGACCTATTACACTGTGATACATATCACATGACCTCCTTCACTGTGATACATGTCACATGACCTACTACACTGTGATACATATCACATGACCTACTACACTGTGATACATATCACATGACCTATTACACTGTGATACATGTCACATGACCTACAGCACTGTGATACATATCACTTGACCTACTACACTGTGATACATGTCACATGACCTACAACACTGTGATACATATCACATGACCAACTACACTGTGATACATGTCACATGACCTTCAACACAGTGATACATAGCACATGACCTCCAACACTGTGATACATAGCACATGACCTACTACACTGTCACATGCCTGACAACACTGTAATGTGTCACATGACTTACTATGCTGCTCACCACCCCGGCTGCTCCGTTGGCTACACTGACTGATTTGGTTTCTGACACATTTGTCATATCTGAACAATTTTTCAGCTGTTCTGCTGATACCTACAAAAACATATGTCACCTGTAAACATGGAATCCACAAATTTTCTTTTAAAAATACCAATGATAGAAAATCTTTTCTCCACCAAAAAAATTTCAGCTGTTTCATGCATTAACAATAGATCAGTGTGTCCAAGGCAATCTGCACTTCACAAAACTTAGTTTTTATAGTATTATAAATGTGTCCATTTCTCTATGTTAATCAGATTTTTACATCAAATCACTGTACCTGAGTTGTAAGTTGCTCCAAACTGAGAGAAGCCGAGTCGAGGTTGGCAGCATCACCAAACAGAGCCTCAGGTGTCGGGTGAGAAATGTAGGCTGTAGTACCATCCTCTAATTGTATGGCTTGTAATCCCTCTACAATTAACATAAACAGAGTCGTACACTTTCATATTAAGAATACTAGCTCTTAACTTTTCGTAGTAAATATTACAAATTTTCAGTAAACCCTACATAAAATCTACAAACCCCAGGTGTCATGCTGGTAGAACTGCTCACCCGCCTGCAATTTGTTGAAAGGCTAGATTACAGTTATTGAAAGCTTTAATAAGGACTAATAACATTTCTGTACAGGTTATTAAGGACTTCTTGTGATGACCTAAGTAGGTTGGACTAAGGTCAAGTCCTTACCTTTTGGGGTCGTATGTAAATAGGCTGTTGTTCCATCCTCTAGCTGTACAGGTTGACCATCTGTCATATGGGCATGGCTGTCAGGGAGTGTCTGACCATCCACCATGTGTGTCCCATCCACGATGTGTGTACCATCCACTAGGGTCATTTGCTGGACCTGGAGCTGGTGTATATCCTTTAGGTCCACCTCATCTGTCATATTGTCTGGCCCGGATTCAATCTGGCTGGGCAAGTTGGACACTACAATATCAATAGGATTATTTCAATGGAACCCCCTGACTGCAGTTTTCTGTACTGATTGTCTTAATCAACTTTTACTAATAGTCACATTAAAAAAAACTAAAAATATCAGCCTTGATACAAAATAAAAGATGAATTTCAATGTTTACCACGAACAGAAAAAATCTCAACAACTGTAATCAGTTTTATAGTTACCTTGGCTCAACCCTTGTACCACAGCAGTGCTGCCATCCTCAAGTGTAATAGTCTGGCCCTCCAGAAACTTTCTCCCTGTCAACAAAACCAGAGATAGGTACTGCTGTTTACCTGTACAATCAGTTCTCTACCTGTAAATACCGGCGACCTGGTTGTACAATCTAACACATGTTGAATCTACATATAGAACATGTTAAATGTATCCCAATTGTAATGAAGGGGGCAATAGTAACCTAGTTATCCCCAATTGTGTATCACACACCGTCCTGGGTTGCCATATCCCCTCAATCTTGGCCATTTCCTCTCTACTCATGCTTAAGTTTTCCAGCTGAAACATTAATGATATTATCCCATTTTTGCCTCCTGCAGTTGCTGAACTGTAATTAGAACAGTGGGCTACAAAACTAGTATGTTTAGCATGTAGCTCAAAATACTAGATGATAAAATGGAGATCTTAAAAACATATTTGAAAACTGTCCTTTTGGGTAAGTAAGGGACGCAACCTCACTCTTTCAATGAATGATTAAACTACCAGATTTTCAGCCAGAGTTTTTTCCCACCTTACTTTTACAACAGCCTGTTCCTGTAGGAATCGAGGAAAAAAAAGCATTATTTTTTTATTGAAATTGGGAATATATTCCTCATTTTTTTGTTGTTTTGGGAAAAAAGGCCACTTTTTTGCTGGGGGAAACAGCCTATATTTGGCTGTAAAACTGAGCAAATAAAATCTCTGTCAGCAAACAAGACAGGGTGTCATTCATTACAATGTTGACATAAGAACATCGAATGGTAATTTCAATCACCATTGGTTTTTTAAATTTATATGAGATCAGAGGTTAATTGTTCTAATGCATTGAGATAATTTCCATGTTAAATGAAAATGTTCCATCACAATGTAATTTAATATAGGCAACTGGCAATCCCATACAAAAATGGTAATGAACTATCTAATGGTTCCCAGATGAGTGTCCTATATATTTCACTTGCATGTCAGATTTTCTTATTGTTTTTAGAAAACATAGAAAAATGTGTCATACTTGGGAAAAACATTTTCGATCAGGTCTAATTAGGTGGATCAGACTCCTGTATACATACATTGATCTGTTTAGTTTCACATAGACGTTCTTGTCATGTACTTCTATTTAAAGACCCCTGTATGGATTTGTTTACCTTTAGGATGTTGTATAAAGGCTGTAGTGCCATCAGCCAGGGTAACAGCCTGCACAGTCTGAGCAGTGGTGTCGGTGGGGATCAGGCTATGATCAGGTATAGATACAGTCACACCCAACTGTTGGGGATCAATATCGTGAACTAGGTCCTCTTCAATCTTAAACAGGCAAAAATAAAGAATACGAAATTCTCAATCAAAGGTCGTATTCTTCACTTGTATAAACAATATGTGACAATGCCAAATATGTTTATCTATAATTTATAATACATTTATAGTTGTATTTGAGAACATGTGAAATTATATTTTGCATTTTAAATTATAATTTTTGGAGGTACTGGGCTTGTAGCACTCACCTGATTCTGGTATATTTTTTTCATATTTTGTTAGCATCGAGAATTTATATTAATGGTCAAGAGATTAACATTTGTAACAAGGAATTCAGTAAAAATGTGACATGTTTTATTTTTAGAAAAAGTCTAAAAATCTTTAATCAATCACAGGCTAGTGTTTGGCCATCCTGGATTATAAATAGCTTTAAAAAATAATGACACACTGTGGACTCTATGCACATCAATATCAGATTTGGACAGGACCTAAGTAAAATGTAAAATCTAGGGATTTCCTTAAAAGGAATAGAACACAAAAGGTGGCATTATGAGGACCAACTAGTTAGCGCCCGATAAGGCAGCTCCTGCGAATTCCTCAAAATTGTATTGATTAATGTATATGCTAATTGTATTAATTGTATATCTATGTACTGTAAAGCGCTTTAGAGTGGCTTATTCTAGCTAGATAAGATGCTGTACCAAATGTTGTATACTATTATTATTATCATAAGGTCATTAAATGGGATCCGTTATTAATTTGAAGGCACTAGTTAGCCTAGTCTTACCCCATGACTTTGAAGCAGTAGGCCGATCACCTCCCCTTCATGCATATCATTATGAATGCCCACACTGGGGTCAACCACGATGGAATCGCCCACACCTGGATTGTCCACATTGGGTTCAATCTTGATGATACTGTTATCGTTAATGGTGTTGTCATCATGAACTTCACACAGCTGGTGGTCATCCTCTTCAAGAACATCTGGGTGGGGATGGTCTGGGGGGTCATCTTCGGTGATCTGGCCGGGCACGTCTCCTACGTGGCCGATACCCTCTATAACAATACTATCCATTTCAGCCGAGTGTCTACATGGCCTCTCAGATCAACGGTGAAACATGTTTCTGCAAAACAGTTCAATGTATAAATCAAACGTTTTTCTTTATTGACAAACAATATAATAATGTTTAATTATATAAATGACATATAAACTCCATTGTATACTACCCTATTAATCACACGTTTTTAACACAGAAATTACTTAACTTTTATCACATCTTTATATTGTGTGCAGTAAAACATATCTAAAATGCATGTTTGTAATTGTAACAAGAGATGGAAATGTATGACCAGACCAAGGACCCTTGAAACTCTAGATGGCTTTACCAATTGAGCTTAGTAATAACCTGGTCACCGACATTTGACCCAGTCCTGTTCAGCAACATTCCTCCCTCCTTTTTCGAAGTCTTTGCCCCCAAAGACAACACTATTTACAGCCTTGGTTCAGGTACTTGGCCCTTGTCAAGCATTCACCCAGAGACTTGAAACAAGGGTTGGTTACAGGCACCAAATGAAACAGAAGCGGAGAAATACATGCATGGCCAGACTGGGGTTCGAACCCAGGATCTTTAATTTTAAAGGGACACTATACTAATTGAGCTACACGGTCGCCAACTTTCGACCTAATCCAGTTCTGCTACAATTACCTGGAATACTTCGGTTGAAATGACTTTGACAGTTTATTAATTCATTGGTGATAAAGCAGAACTGGACCAACTTGTTCAGGGTCGATCGTTGGGGACCAGGTATATATATATATATGTGTAATAGGACGAGGAAAAGTGATAAAGATAGTGTCGTCGCTGGAACCCGCGACCCTTGGCTCTCCAGCCCGATGCTCTACCGCTAAGCTAAAGGGAAATTCCCTACAGCTGACGCTTGTAAGGCAACCTAATTAATCCACATCTTTCACATATGTATAGCTCAATTGGTAGATTGTCTATCTAGAAATCGGAGGGTGCCTTAATAATTGAAACCCGGTCTGGTCGTGTATTTTTTCCATCTCCTTTTACAGTGGTTTCTTTGACCAACCCTTGTTTCAAGAATTGGGTGTACACTTGGCAAGGGGATATCCAAATCTGGATGTAAACAAGCATGTCTTCAGGGACGACGACTCAATAGAAGAAGGAGGGAGTAAATTAATGTATCATGACGGGACTGGGTCAATCGTTGGTGACCAGGTAGATCATCCGTCTAGATAATTATTTGTGTCCCGGGTCAAACCCCGGTCTGACCGTGCATTTTCCCCATCTCCTGTTACAGTGATAATGGTACAGCTATACTTTAATTTTATGGTACTAGGAATTAAGTAACAAATTCCCAATACAGATTTGAAACAATACCAGTGTATCTTGAATTAAAACCTTTTCCGTCGTGATATGACCTGTGATTTTCTGAACTATTTCTAATGTTGAATTTCTGGACTTAAGTAGAGAACAAAACGGCAATACAAAATTAATTTTATTTGGGGAAAAAATGTCACCTCACGAAACCTTTCATATGAATGAAATAAAAAAATGTGAGAAAAAATATTTGGCTATTCTCTCTTATGGTGCAAATGCTAGTTTAAATTACCAACGACTTCCGCCTACGTATAAATAGGTAGAAAAAAGTAAGTCACTATGTGCCTACTACATAACGAACTTCCAGCAAAAGACCACAAAAATACGTAATCGTCAAGAAGCAACTGTTCGCCGGTCAGACATGCATATTATTATTTAGGTTAGACGACTCAGTTTTATTTTCAATAAAATAAACAGGATATATTTGACTTACGAAAAAAATGTTATCGTTATCCATGTGTGCTTTCAATGCGTTTCTACTTTCATTTTCGAGAAAAAACACAAGTCCCCAAAGTATAACAACGCCAGTAATCGACTCGTGAGGGAATTCGCTTTATAAAGTGGTCGTGGGGCAGGAAGTCTCCATCTTGAATGTTTCCTGAACACGACCGTTTACTAGGTTTTCGTGTTTTAAATCGCAATAAGACCAAAATTTAAAACAGTTTTATAGACCACATGATAGCTGATGCTCTAATTTCATCAATCCCAACAGCCACTCTGCTGTTGACAGTATGCACTTTGAACACTGGGAAAACTTACCCAAAAATCCTCAGTACCTAGACCGCCATGCAATGCTCTGTCTTCCGGCCCCGATTATGGATATCTCTAATATTATAATGAACAAATATGCATTAAAGCTGTATTTGATGGAAACAAATACTTACATTTTCTTCTTATCACAAATTAGACGAGTATGAAAGTACTCACGTCACGAATTCTTCAAATGTACACAGCCTGTGTATTCGATCAGTGCCACAACCTATGCATATTTTCATGGATTAACATATTGTGACGTCACAAAGGCAAAAAGGGCATGTTGTCTAGTCTTGCACAAGACCCTACATTTAGACCCCCTCTGGCACTGGGGCATCATTAGCCCCTTCCCCGTTCCTTTTGAAATTAAAGGAAATCAATCTAACATAATCCGGGACACATTAACATGTTTTTCAAACATCAATGATCTACCAAAGTACATATATATATATATATATATATGAATATGAAAGTTTTATTTTAATTCGGTATAGTTACAAACTACAAACATAAGCTTTTAACCGAATACATAATCTCCATCTTCTTTAGTCATGTGACAGACAAATCACAGCTGGCATTCTAGCCTCGGCTAAATGTATATATACAAAACCCTAATTATAATGGTGTTACGGGCCGCCCATAGGTGATTGCACTATTAGGGGATGATGTTGATAAAACTGGTCAACGCAGTGCATGCATGGCCCGTTACTAAAGCTTATAGTCATGGCCCGTTACTAAAGCTTATAGTCATGGCCCGTTACTAAAGCTTATAGTCATAGCCCGTTACTAAAGCTTATAGTCATGGCCCGTTACTAAAGTTCCACCAAAATTCGTTTATGATCGGCACAAATATTCTATGTAAGGATATGCATGGAGGAGATCTCGAGAGAAAAAAAAATATACCTAGATTAATTTATGAAACAAATTTCATATGTATGTTACCGTAAATATATTGTAGATGGATAAAAAAGTAGGACATAGACACATTAAGAATATACAAAACGTGATGCCGATACTTTAATTTTCTAAATATCAAATAGTTGTGGAATCGTAAAACAGTTTACCAGAGACGTGTATTAATATATACGTCTCTAAGCTAGTCTACCAAATACTGTGGTTGATGCTCCAATAGTGTAACAATTTGAAATTCGTCTGTTTGAACACTGCATCATGGATATTGGACCCGGCGTTGTTTTTTTCCTGATATTCCGGCATGTTTTCCCCACATGAAGAGGTATATTTTGCGCGCTTCCATCTGGGCCAGCAAGAGAGATTAATATATTTAAATGAGAGGCGACTAATGAGACATTCCGTAACAAATTGAGATTTTTCACATTTACCCGGCCAGATTTCCACATGTTCCACGTTTTTGATATCACTTTATGTGATAGTGCATCCTACAGTCAGAGACTTGAGAAACTTAAACTACCAACGTTGGCCTTCAGGAGATGTAGGGGAGATATGATAGAACTGTACAAAATTATAAACGAAATATATGATACAGAATGTTGTAATGCAATCACACTTTGGAAAGATGCCGCTGATCGTCACAGTAACAGAGGACATAGCAAAAAGGATACCCTAAGCGTGCAACAATGATGCTTAGGAAAAACTTTTTTTCAATAAGAACAGTGACAATATGGAACGATCTGCCTGAAAATGTTGTCTCCGCACCAAATGTAAATGCATTTAAAAACAGGCTAGATACCCACTGGAAACATCAAGAACTTTTCTTTAACTACAAATCATTAATCAAACCATAGCCATTAACGTGTACCGAATATATATATATATATTTATGTATTGTGTAATATAATAGTCTGGTATAGAGGACTTTCACTAGTCCTGAACCGGAAATAAACTTAACTTAACTTAATCTTGCGCAAGAATAGGTCCTCTACATCAGCGCTCCTTGTCTGCGATGCTCTCAGCTTAATTGCTGCCTTCGGCTGTCTTTAGCCGAGGGGACTATTGGTTTTATATAATAGCTATATTTTCAATTATAGTATATCAATTCTATCTTCTTGTAATATGATGTGTATGAATATGTAACTGTTCTGTTTCACTGTGTCTTGAAAAAGGAGCGGATCGCTCCGAAAAATTGACAACCTAAACTTGTCCACACTGTTGGAATTACTTCTTTGCCCCATATAATATTTTAAGTAATTCGTATCCTACGGACATACCTCCATTAGGATCCAGTGTTATATGGGATTTTACCGTCTATATATTACTTATTTGACCCATATATATATATATATAAGCTGTAAACAAATCCATGGTTTTTAATTGTTATAAAATAAATAGAGTTTTGATTTAGAAATCAACTTTCGGGTAAAAATGCCACCCAAAGATGACATATATACGAGCTTCTCGTATAAGTCATCATCCGGGTGGCATTTTACCAAAAGTGGATCTAAATCCCTAAACACCTTAAATATGTATATTTTTAATGTGTCTATGTCCTACTTTTTTTAACCATCTCTAAGTTAAGATCCAAATAGGATTCTCAGGTCGTTTGTGGAATTCACTATTCAAGAAACAATAGCTAGATTACTGGATTATTTCGTTAAGTACAATTTGTGAAAAGAAGAAAAAAATCGTTAAAAGCAAGAGATTGTTATCCAAGTCCGTGATTAATAGTCAAGGGGAGATAATCCATTTATGACATTAAGCCTTGTTATTTTTCGTTTAACAATGATTCAATTTAAGAATATATTTCCATGTCGATGTTACACATATATATATACATATATATATGAAAACACTCTGTCAGTAAAATGTGATCTATATATTATAGTCGATAAGACTAACTAAACTTCCGGTTACATTATCGGTTAGTTTAACTGGGATTGTTATTGCAGGTTGAAGTCCACCGGCAAGTCTAGTTCAGTAGCAGCATATCTAAAGATCTGAATAGATTCACGATGAATGACATGGCCGAGAAGTTCTGTAAAGCGTCTACCCTAGTGCCAATAGGGTTGTCAGCTGCAGCATTCGGAACCTTTATGTTTCTCAAGAGATTTGGTATCCTGTATCAGCTATTCCACAAAGTGCGTCGATAGGGATTGATTGATTGTGTTATTTACAAGACACGGTTGTTCCGTTACACATAAACATTTATCGTTTAATATATGAAAACTTATTTTAAATCAAAATCAACATTAAGGTAAAGTGTACCAAAGTATCGGTTATAATCGCGTAAAAGAGTTCTGCTCAGAGTTTTTGACATGGAGTAATCTCCCTTATATATGGAAGATGATGCAACTAAAAAGGTCGTTTTGGCTTGGAGTTGCTTTTCCTGTCAAGCTCAATATATCAATTCTTGAGAGAAAGCATTTTGATTACCCATCAATTCAGTTTTATAATTCACAGTAATCTGATGTTTTTTTTTCTATTTATAAAAGGTTGACAACAACATCAAAAGGAATGGAGGTGATATAGTCGGTGATGTTTTGAAGGTAATGTTTGTTAGATTATCAGTGTAACGTAAATAGACTGGTTTGAAAGTCGGCCACCAGGTAGCTCAATTGCATGGTAGAGCGTCTGTGTTAGAGTTCGGAGGGTTGGAACCCTGGTCTGTGTTAGAGTTCGGAGGGTTTGAACCCTGGTCTGTGTTAGAGTTGGGAGAGTTTGAACCCTGGTCTGTGTTAGAGTTGGGAGGGATTGAACCCTGGTCTGTGTTAGAGTTCGGAGGGTTTGAACCCTGGTCTGCGTTGGAGTTTGGAGGGTTTGAACCCTGGTCTGCGTTAGAGTTCGGAGGGTTTGAACCCTGGTCTGCGTTGGAGTTTGGAGGGTTTGAACCCTGGTCTGCGTTAGAGTTCGGAGGGTTTGAACCCTGGTCTGTGTTAGAGTTGGGCGGGTTTGAACCCTGGTCTGTGTTAGAGTTGGGAGGGTTTGACCCCTGGTCTGTGTTAGAGTTGGGAGGGTTTGAACCCTGTTCTGTGTTAGAGTTGGGAGGGTTTGAACCCTGGTCTGGGTTAGAGTTGGGAGGGTTTGAACCCTGGTCTGTGTTGAGTTGGGAGGGTTTGAACCCTGGTCTGTGGTAGAGTTCGGAGGGTTTGAACCCTGGTCTGTGTTAGAGTTGGGCGGGTTTGAACCCTGGTCTGTGTTAGAGTTGGGAGGGATTGAACCCTGGTCTGTGTTAGAGTTCGGAGGGTTTGAACCCTGGTCTGCGTTAGAGTTGGGAGGGTTTGAACCCTGGTCTGTGTTGAGTTGGGAGGGTTTGAACCCTGGTCTGTGGTAGAGTTGGGAGGGTTTGAACCCTGGTCTGTGTTAGAGTTCGGAGGGATTGACCCCTGGTCTGTGTTAGAGTTCGGAGGGTTTGAACCCTGGTCTGTGTTAGAGTTCGGGGGGTTTGAACCCTTGTCTGTGTTAGAGTTCGGAGGGTTTGAACCCTGGTCTGCGTTGGAGTTCGGAGGGTTTGAACCCTGGTCTGCGTTAGAGTTCGGAGGGTTTGAACCCTGGTCTGTGGTAGAGTTGGGAGGGTTTGAACCCTGGTCTGTGTTAGAGTTGGGCGGGTTTGAACCCTGGTCTGTGTTAGAGTTGGGAGAGTTTGAACCCTGGTCTGTGTTAGAGTTGGGAGGGCTTGAACCCTGGTCTGTGTTAGAGTTTGGAGGGTTTGAACCCTGGTCTGTGTTAGAGTTTGGAGGGTTTGAACCCTGGTCTGTGTTAGAGTTCGGGGGGTTTGAACCCTGGGCTGTGTTAGAGTTGGGAGAGTTTGAACCCTGGTCTGTGTTAGAGTTGGGAGGGATTGAACCCTGGTCTGTGTTAGAGTTCGGAGGGTTTGAACCCTGGTCTGCCGGTGCATTTCTCTTTCTATCGTTACATCATAAACACCTTTTTATGTGTTTTATCAGCAACTTAGAAGGTTAGACGTTTTCACACTGACTTGTGTCAGGGACAGTATATACGTCCCTGCTTGTGTAAAGACACAAATATTTTATTTCAAATACATTGATTTAGTTGCCGAACTGTCAAAGAATTTTCTTGCTTTCTGAACTTGCATAATTATTGGTTAAAGATGGTGTAATATATGTCATTTATTATCGTCATGTTCACATGGACTGACAGTACCAGTATGTTCAAAGTAATCAAGTTAAGATAATGTTATATTTCTCCTTTTTCACACGGATTATGTTTTAAGTAAGCTAGTGTAAGTGAAGATATTAGGAAAGTGAACTGTTCTTGTCACTTCTGACACATATTTGACCTAAATGTTTTAGGCTCATGGTGTGAAATATGTGTTTACTTTGGTGGGAGGGCACATATCCCCCATACTGGTGGCCTGTGAGAAGATTGGTATTCGGGTGGTGGACACCAGACACGAAGTAAGTTATTCATAGTGCTATATTTGAATCAGTTTTAATGAGTGATATCAGAATTAAGAAAGCTGGTGGAGTAGCATAAGTCAAATTTTATTAAAAATCTACAAAGTTGTCTATTTAATTCTGTGAGACACATACCTCCATTAGTGTGAGGATGTTTTTTTTTTTTATTCTCTGTTATAATCAATAACTGATTGTTTGTGTATTAAATTTACAGATTTTGAAAATGATTGAATTGTTCACTGATTGGCAGTGTGTGATGTTTGTATTTAGGTGACAGCTGTATTTGCTGCGGATGCTGTGGCCAGAATGTCGGGCACTGTGGGTGTGGCCGCTGTCACAGCAGGCCCAGGTAAGACTGGTGTACAAAGTACTACAAACACACCTCCTACACCACTCCCCCCTTACTATTGACCAGTTTACCTCACAAACACACCACCTACACCACTCCCCCTTACCTTTGACAGGTTTACCTTACAAACACACCTCCTACACCACTGCCCCCTTACCTTTGACAGGTTTACCTTACAAACACACCTCCTACACCACTCCCTCCTTACCATTGACCAGTTTACCTTACAAACACACCTCCTACACCACTCCCCCTTACCATTGACCAGTTTACCTTACAAACACACCTCCTACACCACTCCCCCTTACCATTGACCAGTTTACCTTACAAACACACCTCCTACACCACTCCCCCTTACCATTGACCAGTTTACCTTACAAACACACCTCCTACACCACTCCCCCTTACCATTGACCAGTTTACCTTACAACCACACCTCCTACACCATTCCCCCCTTACCATTGACCAGTGTACCTTACAACCACACCTCCTACACCCCCCCTTACCATTGACCAGTTTACCTTATAAACACACCTCCTACACCACTCCCCCCTTACCATTGACCAGTTTCCCTTACAAACACACCTCCTACACCACCCCCCCTTACCATTTACCAGTTTACCTTACAAACACACCTCCTACACCACTCCCCCTTACCATTGACCAGTTTACCTTACAAACACACCTCCTACACCACTCCCCCTTACCATTGACCAGTTTACCTTACAAACACACCTCCTACACCACTCCC